CACATTTTATAGGTTTATTTCTTGTGACAATTAAGACCTTTTATTTGTGTACCATTAATTTTTACCTCTGATCGCTTGGCCTAGGATACACATTTTTACAAGAAAAATACCAAACTTTAAACTTGGCCTAAATTTTCATCAGTAGGTGCTAGGGCTTTCATGCTTAACATGTGTATTCATAATGAACTGTCAACAGGTATAAGTATATTTGACCTTGACCCTAGAGTTTGAACCACTTAAACAATAACCTTGGCAATTAACTTTTGAACAGGAAGTACTAGGGTTTACTTATTTCACATGTGCATTCCTTGTGACAAGATTTTCTTCTCATACCATTAATTTGAACTCTTGACCTTGACCTTTGAGTTTGACATATATTTGAGAAACTTCAACCTTCGCCATAGGCTTCCATACAGAGACATCAGTATTTCACAAACAAATCTTGTCTTCATTATTATTTGGTAATGTCTCCATATGACGGAAAAATTCACGTGAGAGATGTATTCACAACAAACAAACACATTACTAAAGAAAATATAAAACATGAATATGTTGGTCATGCATATCTCTGCATGAAAAAAAAAAAACAGCTTTTCAAATACTGCAACCATATCGTTACCCTTCCAAAACACTCATTTCAGCTTTTCTGGTTTCCTTATCATATAACATTTGTCGTGAGCTGTCGTCCATCTGTTTGTCTGAAAACTTTTTACATTTTTAACTTCTCTAGAACCACTGGACCAATTTTACCCAATTCATATAGAAATAGGTACATCTGTATGTCAGACTGTCCATCTGTCTCTATTAATTTAACCTTGGACATCTCGGCCATATCGAATGAGAAGAGACAAGGCATTCATATCAAACTTATGTACTAGTATTTACCTGTGAGAATGGCATGGTTTTTCTTTTACATCTAACTTAGAAGTTTGGCATACTTGCCAAAAATTAAATTGTTATAAATTCATCATTTTGAAAGAGAAAAGTCAGTGCATCCATATTAAAATGCATGTATATTATTACCTGTGATAAGATCTTTCCAAATAAATCATGACTTTTACTCTGTGACTTTGACCTTTAAGCCTATCCTACTTTTCAAAAATGTTGCATTTGCATATAACGTTTGATTGAGATGAGATATTAGTCTCACATTTGACATGTACATTAATTACTCATAAGAATTCAAGGTGTTTCCCAGTATGCAATGCTATTTTACCCCTTGACGTTGATGTTTTACATAATTTTCAAAATATTTAACTCTCCTAACAGGTGATTAGGCTTCTGAGTAACATTAAGGAGGACTTCAGGGAAGACAGGGCTTTTTGCACAAAAAACGTCTTTTTCCCACCCCATTTGGCCCCAGGGGAAAAATCAAAATTCCAAAACCTTACTGCACATGTACATGACACCAACAACCATCTCCCAAAAGATGATTAGGCTGCTGAGTAAAAGGTAGAAGGAGTTCAGGGAAGACGGGGCTTTTAGCATAAAAAGTCATTTTTCGACCCCCCCCCCCGCCCTTTGACCACCCGGAGCAAAATCAAAATTCCGAAACCTTACTGCACATCTACATGACACCCCAAACCATATCCCAATAGATGATTAAGCTACTGTGAAAAATGTAGGAGGAGTTCAGGGAAGAAAAGTGTGACAGACGGACGGACGGACGGACGGACGGACGGACGGACGGACGGACATGAGTAACAACAATATACCCGAACTTTCTTTAGAAAGTGCGGGTATAATAAGTGAATAAAAATATCTATTGTGCATTTTCTAATTGAAAAGTGAACAAAAAAAAAAACGCGTACACTTAAAATGAAAAATTAGAGTTATTTGATTATGAAGAAAATTGATCACTGTTTAATACTTATTCATTGCTTTAGTTTTTTTTTCTTTTTATTTTAATCATTTTTACTTTTCTGCCGATTTATCACGTATTAGTTTAAATTGTGTAGGTGTGTACTTTTCAGCCACCGTTCACGGTAGCTCAGTCGATAGAGCGCTCGCACCGTGATCGGGAGGTCGTGAGTTAGAATCTCGGCCGCGACCGACCTAGTCGTTAAAATGGGTAGCAACTGTTCCTTCACCATGCGCTGGGCACTTTGAAGTGAAAGTTGTGGGTCCTTAGGATATGACCTTAAAAACGTAGGTCCCATGTCACGGTAGGCGTTGGCACGATGAAGAACCCTCACTGCTCAATGGCCCTTAGTGCCGAGTATAGGTCTAAATTTGAAGCCCTTCACTGCATCGGTGATGTCTCCATATGAGTGAAAAATTCTCAAGAAGGACGTTAAACAATATACAATCAATCAATCGACTTTGAAAACCTATCATAATGATTTTTAAGAATATATACCTTTGAACTTACATATTTAATACACATTAGGGTTATATCTAAGTTTTATTTCAAGAATAATGTGACCTTAATTTGTGCAAATCGTGTGAGTTTAAAAAGAGAGTTACATGTGTAAGTTGTATAACCTTACAATCAATCAATCTGTATGTTTTCTATGTAAAAGAATTCTACTCAATAGTTGCAATATGCAAATCTACTCTCCCCCTAAAAATACTTATTAATATCTTAAAAATATAAAAAAATGTATTAAAATGAGTTTTAAACTGCATATCTATTTACGAACAGTATACAAACATTATAGTTAACAACCCCTTTCCCATGGGATGCTTAAAAAATGAACATATCTTAACTAAAAGCTTTCAACGTACACCATGAACTTGCTAAATCGGAAAATATTAGATAAATCTTGTCGACCACAACAGGAAACCTGTTTTTGATCATTAAAGACCTTTTTAACGATGCTATATGGCAATTAAAAGAACCTTGTCAAAATCCAACTCAATTATCTTCATTTATATTATCCCTATCTAGTGGTAGTTCAGGAAATTATTATCATAAGTCCCCTGTATTCATTTTGCAAAGAAAACAGAATGTATAAAAGACATGGAAATTTATCAGTTGAATATATATTGACTGAATTCCTTACAAAAATGTCAATAATACTTTCGACAACCATCGGGTATTTAAAAGCTGCCTAAAGAAAATTATGTCTAACTTATGTGAAAAGTGTTTTAGAATAATTAAAAATGTGTACAAAAATATCAAGTCCAAAGTATTTTGTAGCGGGCAAAGCTTTGATTTCATTGAGACGGGGTGAAAACTTGTCATCTATTCTGTTTTCACTGTATCTCAATGATTTAGAAGGATTTCTTGCTGTACATGATGTTAATGGTTTAACAACTTTTAACATTGTCAGATAAAATGGAAAAGAATGTTACCTGATATATGAAATTGTATGTCTTGTTATATGCAGATCATACTACTTTGCTTTCAAAAGACCAATTTGATTTTAAACATCAATTAGATTTTTTTTTCCAAATATTGCGAAAAATGGCATTTAAAAGTGGATATTAACTAAACTAAAATATTAATTTTTGGTAAATGTAAAGTGAATCACAATATTGTTTTTAGATATAATGAATTACCATACCATTGGAAATTGTTAGCGAATACAGATATCTTGGTGTTACATTTTATAAAAGTGCATCGTTAATATGAATATATAAAGGGGCTGTATGACAAAGCAATAAGAGCAATGTATGGAGTGATTAGTAAATGTAAAAGGCACAATTTATCTCTGAAATGTAAGCATGACCTCTTCGATAAAGTTGTTAAACCAATTTTGTTATGCGGTTGTGAAACATGGGGTTTTAATAACTCCTTGCTAATTGAAAAATTGAACCTTAAATTTTGTAAACATATCTTAAATGTGAAATTATCAACCCCTAACGTAATGGTATATGGAAAATTTGGAATATATGCATTGTTAATTAATTTTAAGCTTAGAATGATTACTTTTTGGGCTAAAATGATAACATCAAACGATTCAAAGGTATCTTCAAAACTTCTGTCACTACATATGAATTAAATTAAAACACCAAAATGTAAATTTGTACAAAAAGTTTTAAATGAAGTGGTTTATTATATATATGGAAATGGAATACAGTTAATGTCAAATGGTTGAAAAACAAAGTATATCATACATTTATTGATCAATTTGACCAATCATGGTATAGTGAAATGTACAATGGGTCTAATAGAATTATTTACAAAATAAAGTGAACCCCCCCCCCCTTAAAGCTCTTTATTATAGGTAATTCAAAAGAACATTATCTTTTGAAAAATATTTTGATATTTTACCTTGAAATTTTTGAGAATCTTTTGGAAATTTAGAACTGGTAATACCAGGTTCCCTATTGAAACAGGGAGATGACATGGCATTCCTAGAGAAGCAAGACTCTGTAACCTTTGTAACTGTAAAGAAATTGGTGATGAGTTTCATTATTTATTCAATTGTACTGAAAAAATTATAAAACAAACTAGGTCATTATATTTATCTAATTATTATGCTGATAACCAAATGTATATTAATTTGAGAATCTGTTTTAAACCACAAATAAGAAACAGTTGATAAAAGTTTGTAAATTTTTACAAAAGATTATCGAGAGAGTTCGCTCTCCTGGTTAAAATTCTTTTTTCCCACACAATGTGCATTGTCATCAGTATTTGTATTAATTATTGTTCTGTACAACTTTATAAGTTTTATGAGAATAAAGACATTGTCATTGTCAATGTCATTGTCCAAGGTGTAAGGTTTAATACAATTACGTAATATTATGCTTTTTGTACTTCAATCGTGTTTCTTTTCAATGCCTGATTTTATATATTTCATGCATGCAAGCTTTTATATGTAACTCGTAAAGTACATGTATGTATGATAAAATCTGTCAAATAATTAAGTATCATATTACCTAGCGCCTTTTTGTTGGGTGTTAAATTTATTCAAACTGAAGATTCACGATATTTTGCAAACCTTCTCAGGATCCGAAATACAAAATTTTATCTTGAGAAAAAAGAAAATTGATTTAAGATTTGTGGTATTGATAATTAGCTTGAGAATATCTAAGGAGCAACTAGAAAAATGACATGTAAGAATTTAAAAGAAAACTTTGGACTGGAATATGACAAGCCGAATGCGTTTGTACGATCTCAGGTAATTATTACTTATATGACAATGCATGACATTGTATTCTTATTCATAACGAAGATAATTTACGTTTATGTAAGATCATTCGAAAATCTCCAAGATTTATTTTAAGGTCATGTGTGCAAATTTATTGAGTTGATCAAATTAACATGATGGTAAAATAAGCTTTTCTATCGGGGGTTATCCTTTTGCACTTTATATTAGTAAATTTAAGTATATAATGTTTACAAATGACCATGTTTTATGCCCCCGTAAATGAAGTTTCCGGGGTTTATAGTTTTTGTCGAGTCCGTCTGTCTGTCGTCTGTTTCTCTGTCCGTCTAGCTGTTTGTCCGAAAAAAAAATAAACTTTGCCAATAACTTTTGATTTAGTGGAGCTATGACTTTCATATTAAAGTTTTGTATTCCTTGTGGCAAGACCTTTCTCTGGGCACCACCATATTTGACCCTTTGACCTTGGAATTTGACTCACTTTTACACAAAAACTCCAAATTTTTACTTTGGCCATATCTTTCCAACAGTAGATACAATGACATCTATTTTTCACATATGTATTTTCTGTTGAAAGACCTTTTATTGAATACAAACAACTTTGACCTTTCATCCTTGACCTTTGAGATTTACTACTTGTAAAAAAAACTTTAAATTTGACCATAACTTTTGAAGAGTAAGGGTTACGGCTTTGTTGCTTCACATATATAATTCATGTGAAAAGCTCCTTCATTGGATACAAAGAACCTTGACTCTTTGACCTGACGTTAAAGTTTGACATACTTTTAATAGGCACACCTTGACCATAACTTTTGAAAGGTAAGGCTAGTGCTTTTATACTCTACATATTTATACCTTTTGACAAAACCTTTTAGTTGATAGCATGGTCTTCGTCTTTCACCTTGGGGTTTTACCTACTTTGAAAAAAATAAATCTTGGCAATAATATCTGAACGGTTAAGACTAGGGATTCGATACTTTACATATGCATTTTTGTACCAAGGCCTTTAATTGGATACCAATGACCTTGAAGAATGCCATACTTATGAAAAAAACTTTAACCTTTGCCTACTATATACATTCATATTTTTTCACAATAATATTGTATTTTCAGTGAGAATAATCTACTTTTGTTGCCAATACCGTTCATCAGGATTTTTCCGCGTGTATCCATTTTCCGCTTTGTTCGCAACGAGTTCTGAAGCTCGGAAAATAAAACAGCGTTAATTTAATACAAAGTTTTCTTCTTGTAGTAGAATTATTTCTAAATGCTTACACTGTATATCTTAGAGGGCAGAAATAGCGGGATCAGAGGACAAGCGCATGATATCTGTAATATGTATAAGCCCTTATTGTCTGTTTACTAATTGACAAGCTAGCTAATTATATGGGACACGTTCCTTGAGAAGGTATTTAACTAATTATAACTGAGCTGCTAGTCAGTCTGGAACAGTAAATGACCTATGATTGTTTAAAAATCTTAAAAAATAATATCTGTGGATTTGAGAGTTAGTACGCAAGACAGGTGTGTATTCAGCTGAGCGGGTCTTCCGAAATTGACGAGGTGAAGGTCGACCGATCTATTTCTGACCCGTATGTAGTAACTCAAGCTTGATGACTTTACATATTGCATCTATTTCTTTCATAGGCTTAAACAATTGTTAATAGTATAATCACATGGAGTTTAAAATAGTGAAAATTTGATTCGCGTAAATTTAATGAACTGATTTAGGTTCTGATTCGCGGAATAAACGTGACGCGGAAAAAACCTTATATACGGTATATTGAATTTGCATTTAAAAAAAGTTTAATCTTTCCTATGTTGCCATACGGAGGCATCAGTGTTTCACAAACAAATCTTGTTTTCAGTTACTTTTCAGAAGGGTCAAAATTATGGCTAAAATTTTGCTTTTTAAACAATGATTAAACAAGCTAGACTAAGTGTATTTGAAGTATTTCTATTATTTTTTTTATGCCTGTTTGATACACACAGAAGAAAAAAAAATGAAAAGATTGAAAGAGATGCAAAGGGTGGTTTTGAAATCAGCAAAGCAGTTGTTTAACATGAAATAGATTTAAATCTGAAGTGGCAAAATCATTCTGAAGAAAAAATGCACACAAAATAAATATCGCACATGGGAACATACGCCGGGGTTAAAATAACCGAGAAACACACAAATGAAAGCGCTAACTTACATGTACAATTATGCAACAGAGAGGAAAAATTAACATTTCGTATTTAACATAACCGATATAAACCCCCTTTTAAGCTCTAAACTGTGCAAAGCTGTTGTTGTACATGCCGTTCTCTAGATTTGGACATTCAATTCAAATTAGAACATTGCAATGAAAATTTTAAAGATTTACAGCACACTGGATTCGCGGCTTTGAAATGGCAACAATAATTTAACGCTTTCAAAACTTTTTTTTTTTACATATAAATATATCCAAAAAATGTCTTGCAATATATTGTTGTTTTTATTACAGTGTTTTCCTGATTGCGTGTACCTCCTTTGGAGTGCATTCTGCTTCTTGTATCACTTTGTATGGATTATTCTGGAGATTTACTGGGAAATAACTGACCAAACAGATAATAAGTCCTGGTTTATCTTCCTTACAAACTGGGGCTACCTCGTGATATTTATCTACTTTGGTTTGGATTGCTCTTTCTCTATCTATATACATTGTGTGAGAAAGGGATCAGGTAATTTTTATAATGATTAAGGTATAAACTGACAATAATATATTTTTCAGTTTATAAAAAAAAATATATAACCAGTAATAATATTAGTGAAAATGTAATAAGAATACTACCATACGTTTAGTATGCTTGTTTAAAGACAGTGAAATCACTGATGAAAAAGTAATGAATTTTGCTGTCGTAAAATCTACAAATTCCAAAATCTCTTTTAGTCACGCCATCAAACTCGATGAATCTTTATCTTAAAACGGTGTGGGTGATTTTCAACATAATGAACGCATCTTCAATTCTTATCACCTTCTCATACTTTACATTTTTGGATGCAAGTAAGTATGAACTTTATATTAGAGAGTTTTTCACAGGTATATGTTGCCTTATAATAATGTATTGAGTGAAAGGCTTAAGGACGTGTACAGATGTAAAAGTATTTTTTTTTCTTTTCAGACATGCATGCGAGGAGCATTAACAAACATATGATAAATTCAGTGTTCACAGTTCTGAACATTGTAATCACTGACAAACCTGTACGTTTCTGGCATATGTGGTTTCCTGCCTTGTTTGCAGTTATATATCTGATATTCAATGGGGTCTACCAGAAAGTGGGAGACGAAGATCCTATATATCCTGTATTAGACTGGAATAAATTTGGCAGTGCTTTGGAATTTTCTTTGCTAGAACTTTTGATTGCCCTTCCAGTTAGCCACACCATCGTTTTTGTATTTTATAAACTTAGATGTTGCTGCCCTAGGAGACCTCATGAAGAATCACCAACATATGAACATTTCAACAATCCAGAGTCACCAGATAAACAAGATATACATTCTTTAGAGTTGGCTATTAACCCTCAGGGAATGTACAAAACATTCAACAAAATGTAAAAAAAAATATCTTCCCAGCGAAATCATGGTTGAAATATGTATTGGAAAAAAATTCCCTGTTCATAACTCCCTCGTACTCATTATTTCACTGTGAATCGGTATTTGTGATGTTTCTTTAAATTGGTGCCAAGTGTCGAGTTGAACTTTTTGTAACAAAACCTTTTTCCGTATTTGTAGATTATTATCATAAAACGTGAAAAAAACTTTATTACATGTAAAAGTCCTTTGTATGTTTTATAATAACGTTAGACTATCAATAACAAGGACTGTTTATGTTTGTGGGCTATGAGTTTTTGACCAAATGAATAAGCATATGTAAATTAGTAAAGAAGACTATTCAAGAGTCGGCACTTGTATCCAATCCCTTTGACATACAGACCCTGAGACGTGCTACTACCCAAAAAAGCGTGTAATTGTCATGTTCTTTTCGTTTCGTGCAACCTGTGTAACGTTTCGTGTAAACCGTGCAGCGTTTCGTGTAAGCTCCAAAGCGTTTCGTGTAAACCTTGTAACGAGCGTGTAAGATTGATTGAATATTTTAAACACCGAGGCGGCAATTTTTCAACCATTTGTATCAGCGGACCATTAGTTTAAATCGGTTTTTGAAAGTTTATGGTCTCTCTGGCGGCCCCCAGTGAGCCTACTCTTTTTTGAACTCCAGAGAGACGATCTTTTACGTGCCAAGAAGGTTGTTAGCGAGCGTGTGAGAAACGTGCGACTTTCGTGTAAGAATCGTGTTAGAAACGTGTCAGATTCATTCGGAAATCACTTTCATTTTTAATATGGCTATCGATTGGTTAAGATATCAAATTGTGTTAGTATTTTATTATTTGAATTAGTTATTCTTGTCGTATTTTAGGAGTTAAAAAAATGGAACAACTGAATGAAATTACACGTTAATGTATTATACATTTGTTTGCTTATTTTCTTCTAAAGAAAATGTGTTCAAGTTAATTAATTACACTGTACATATATGCACAACAATATTAAGGGCAATGAGTTCAATATACTATTTGAAATATTTTTCTCAAAGAAAGAAATAAATGCGCAATCATACATATATATCCGTATTGTCCTTTCTGACATAATCTATTTTCTCAAATAAATTCTGCGATATGACTAGGGGAAAAATAGTCATATTGCAGAGTTTACTTGATAAATTAAAATAATTATGTCAGAAAGGACAGTTATGATAAAAGATAAAATTCAACTTTGAATTTTAGTCAATCAGTTTTTCAATTTTGTTTGACATGTATGTAAATAATGTTATACGATATTCGATATTACTATTTCATTGTTTCATAACCAGATTTTATTTTTTATTTTTCTGGATACAATTTGAAATGTAAGTGGAAAAATTACTAATAAGTTATTTGACAAAAGGAAGGAATGTCATTGAAGAAAAAAATGAATACATGTAATTGTCTAAAATAAATAAATTGTGTTACTCAGAATGTTTGGTATGAGGGATGAGTAAACTGTTGAAGCCTTTATACATACAATTATGTCATTTTGTTGGAAAGAGAGTACAGCAGTAATTTGTAGGTAGATGATGTGTTTGTTGTACAATTCTGTATAGTTTCTTTTCTTTTTTATCGGTATTTTCTCTTTATTTTTTTTTTTTGGGGGGGGGGGTACAAATAAAATTTAAATGTGTACATCTTTTCATGAGCTTAAAATACATTGAATTTCTCAATAAAGAGCAATGTACAGTCATATTGAAATATGAATTACATGGTGAAGTTTTCACATTTCTTATAGTTTTTACGTTTATGAACATGTTTATGAACAAACTGAAGTGATGAAGTGTTCAATTGCCTTGGAAACTCTTGTCTTACTTTTTGGGAATATAATTCCTCATCAGACATTAAAATTTCATAAAAATCGTAGCCACTTCCTTTCTTTATAATACTTTTTGATAGACTGGGTAAATTTTACCTCTATACCTTCTATATTTTGTATATGGCTATCTTATACCTCAATATGTCACAGTTTTCTTTTAGTTATTTTATCTATGAAACTTATTGCTCATGGCAATAACTTTTCCTAAAACTCATCTATATATATTATGATGAAAAAATGTGTTAAAAAATAAATATGAATTCTAGATACTTGTTGTCTCAAATTGTGTTAGAAAATAACAGGTTGCTTTTTGTTTACCTAAATGGACCTATATATTTTTCTTGATGAATAAATATTCCCTAAAATAAAAATATATGACCGAGTTTAACCGACAGTGACATTCAAAGAGAGGTCTCTTGGACACATGTAGAACACTGTCGAAGTTGTTTTTTCAGAGGTGGTCAAGAAGCCTTTACCCCCCCCCCCCCTTTTTGAAGCCGCCGAAAAATTGTATAATATTGATGAATTAGCGAAATTAAACGATCAATAGTTATGTTCTCTCATAAGCTGTATTCCTGAAACTATCACTTTCTCTGTGCATGCTAAAATGTTGAAGACATATTCTGCAAATATGTATGAATCAGTGATAAATAAAAAAGAAAAGGTTTTCAAAAAAAGAGAAAGAGGGTTTTTTAGCCGAAATTTTAGACATTTTCATCATTATATTATTTATACATTGATAAATGAATTTGATTTTATGCACAAAATGAATGTGAAAGTAATTAATGACGCAAAATAAGATACGATAGACATTCCCTGGTTTATACATGGCATCATATCTTGTGTGTGAAATGTGTTTCCGTATAATTTGATTTATTTACATATAGTTCACGTTTGTCGTGTTGATGTGGAATTATTATAAATTCCCGAATTCTAAAACTTTACAATTCTGTTGTGTTGGGAATGAACATTAGGAAGATGCATATACTTTCAACATAAGGCAAATCGAACGCCTTTTTGTGTGCAGATCATGAAATGTACTGAGCTCCACGGGTATTTGTTGTCCCGAGCGCAATTCTTACTTGGCTGGTGATACCTTTAGAGAACATGTGTATCTAGATGAAAGTTAAGTCAGCAACATACGCCATCCCATTGTTTAAGTTTTATTAGGTGATTACACCTCCTATATCCGATTTCGGGGATTCAACGATACCCTAATATCGAGTATTATACCCGATTTCACGGATACTACGCGATTTCGAGTATTCTCTCCGACCTGTTAAGTGCGGTTACCCAAAGGGCGACACGACAATATATTTCTTTTAAACAGAAACATATCAGCTCTTGTCTTTACAGTTAAAGTTCCGAAACGATGTGCTATTTTTAAATACCTTTTAATACATATGCTTTGTTCACTAAATCATATAAATTTATAAAAAAATCTTAATTCACTTGCACCGACGAGCACAGATATAGGTATTCCCGGGAAGTGTATGTATTGGGGGAGGGTGTCAAAAGAAAATGATAGTACGGTCTTTCAATATTTTTTTCTTACTTTAACGTTAGTTTAAATAAATTTATGTTCCTTTAAATAAATGGCAGATTTTATATTCTCTTTTAAATCTTTTGTTAATTGTGTGCGCCGACACACCCCATAAAAATATATTGGAATCTTCTTTTAGCCCTTTCAACTTTGTTTAAGGTCATTCCAAGGGCTTTGAGTACACGGAACTGAAAACCTGTTTTGCGACATTGTGTTCACGGCTTAATGACACCCGAGATTTTTTTTTGAAATACATCTAGTTGAGTTTTGATTACATTCATGTTAAAAGAGAATAAAAATAGATTAAAACTTCCTTTTTAACCCCTTCGCCCCCGTTTTCCTCCTAGAGATAATGCTTACGTTAGATTTTTTTTTTAAAAAGTTAAACATTATGTGAATTATTCTGAGTAAATGACATTCAATCACTTTAAACCTGGTTCCTCAATAGCATGGAAATTCGTATCCTCTATTGCACGGGCACTTGTTTCTGTAATAAAGTTTACCAATACATGTAGGTCTTAGATGAAGTAGGCCCAGTTAAAGAAGAAGGATATGGAAATAACGAACAGTATTCAATCTCAACGTCCATTACACAAATATACAAAATAAGAGCAGAGCAAACACGGACCTTCGAAACATCAGAGGTGGGATCAGATGCCATGAAGGAGTGAGCATCCCCTGCCGACCGGTCACACCCGCCGTGTGCTCGTTGTCATAATCAGGAAATAATGGAAAAAATCCTTGGTCGATTCAGTGTATAAATAATGGACTAACAATTGGTATGAAAAACGTCAGTCAGCATTTCATTCAATGATAAATTGTATTTGCTGACAAGGTCATTGTATCGACCATAGAATTTGCTAAATGATGACTTTAAACGAGACTGTTGATATTCTTGTTTCATCAACTTGCTTGTCAATAATTTACCTCGTTTAAGAAATTGTTCATACGTTGAGCATGCTCGTGCGTATCGAATCAACTGAGATATAAATACTCCGTATGCACAAATGTTTAAGTGGTGAATACATTGTTGAATCGATTGTCCAGAAAGTAAATAATTGATTGCGATTTTTGTACCGAGAAGCCCGGTTTTTAGATACTTTTTGTAAAATGATCTGTGTTCAGCATCAATACAATGCCATATTGATTACGCCTGTAGTGCTTGGTATGCAGGGCTATCCAAAAAATTAAAGAAAAGGTTACAAATTTGTCAAAATAAGATGGTTCGTTTTATTTTTAATTTAGGTCCACGGGCATCTGTTAATTACGAAATACTTAGTCAATTAAATTTATTAAATATTCAAAGTAGAGTTGCTCAGCTTAAACTCAACTATGTTTTTAATATTTTTCAAGGAAAAGCCCCTTCTTATCTTAATGAACATTTTATACTTCGGTCAAATTTTAGTAGCTATCATACTAGATCAGTCTCAAATGCAGATTTTGTCGTCCCAATTATTAAACAAAAACAATCTGAATCATTTTATTTTAATGGAATCAAAGACTGGAACATGTTACCAGCCTAAATTAAACCTGGTTTAAATACTGGATGTAGTTTTGCTTTTAAGGTCATACGCAACGTAGTTTGAACTTTTTTGGAGTCTTCCCTGGAGTTGAAGAGTTCCACTAAATGAAGGAACTGTGTGCAATATTTTCAATGTCTATATATGAATTGGTACACCTCTTCTAAAACAAGTTTTGATGATAAAAAAAATCTGGAATTTATGTTTTATAATTTTTGTAAATTTTTATTTGAATTATGCAAAAACTTTCAAAATTCGATATCTTTTCAAAACCCTGGTAAGGCATGCTGATTTTTTGTCTAAGAACATGTTATGATATTATAAGTTTAAACTTAGAATATCTTGGAAAATTATCAGTAGGTAAGGTACGTTGCGTATGTCCTTAAAAGAAATGTCAAGATTTTTTTTATAAGAAAGGGGAATGGCCCAGTGTAAAAGTCAAGTTGTGTTCTATTAGTTTTTACATGACTGTATTAGTAGTATATAAGTTGTTCCAATTATAATCATGTGGATATTTGGTATACATTCATAAAACACTTCATTTTTAAGGATCTCTGTGTTGTCAACTTGACCCCATATCTTAGCAATGGTATTTCAATTTTATATTTATCTGCTTATATTATTTAACATCCAATTAACATACATGTTTGAGTATGAAGACCCCATTGGAAAGAAGCCATTGGCTTTCATTGGTTATCCTTGGTACTGTAAAACGAGAAAAATTGGTGCATGCATATTTTAGCGCAAAACGCAAGTGGGGATGCAAATAATTTTTAACGTTTGCACTTGTCAGTAAAATATATGTAATATTTTTTTTTCTTAATTCACACCTGTATTTGACTTTTTGGTTTGTCAAGCACGGAAACACATCAGAACTCCCGAATATTAGTAAACATTCGTTAACGTTATCACGTACGTGTTGTTATCACATAGACGCGGTACAATGTTAAAATTTATTTTATTTCTATTTTCAATTTAAAAAATGGAGAATTATCTCATTCAAATCGTATAAAAACATTGTATGCATCGACAGAAAATTACTTAGATAAAACAGTAATCCTAATCAGGTATTGTCTACAAGCGACAATCGACATGCTTGATTGCATCAATTTGTTTACCTCAAGGCCATAGATGATTGACACGCCGAGAAGCCAAACTTTGAGGGTTCTAATG